TTCATGTGTCCACGGTAAGACAGACTGTCTACAAATGGAGAAAGTTTAGCACTGTTGCTACTCTCCCTAGGCGCGGTCGTCCTGTAAAAATGACTGCAAGAGCACAGCGCAGAATGCTGCATGAGGTAAAGAAGACTCCCAGAGTGTCAGCTAAAGACCTACAGAAATCTCTGGCACATGCTAACATTTTTGTTGACACATCTACAATAAGGAAAACATTAAACAAGAATGGAGTACATGGGAGGACACCACGGAGGAAGCCATTGCTGTCCAAAAAGAATATTGCAGCACGTTTGAAGTTTGCAAAAGAGCACCTGGATGTTCCACAGCACTACTGGCAAAATATACTGTGGACAGATGAAACCAAGATTGAGTTGTTTGGGAAGAACACACAACACTATGTGTGGAGAAAAAAAGGCACAGCACACCAACATCAAAACCTCATCCCCACTGTGAAACATGGCGGAGGGAGCATCATGGTTTGGGGCTGCTTTGCTGCCTCAGGGCCTGGACGGATTGTTGTCATTGATGGGAAAATGAATTCCAGAGTTTATCAAGACATTTTGCAGGAAAACGTATGACCATCTGTCCGCCAACTGAAGCTCCGCAGAGGATGGGTGAAAACCAGTGAGCCGGTGACAGGGTCATGGGTGGCCAAGGCTCACTGATGCATGTGTAGAGCGAAGGCTGGCCTGTGTAGTCCAGGCACTGATGTCGGATGAGAAGGTCTGGCTCGCAGTCTCTACTCTAATTCATCCCAAAGGTGTTCTATCAGGTTGAGGTCAGGACTTTGTGCAGGCCAGTCAAGTTCCTCCACTCCAAACTGGCTCCTCTATGTCTTTATGGACCTTGCTTTGTGTACTGGTGCGCAGTCATGTTCGAACAGGAAGGGGCCATCCCCAAACTCTTCACACAAAGTTGGGAGCGTGAAATTGTCCAAAATGTCTTGGTATGCTGATGCCTGAAGAGTTTCCTTCACTGGAACTAGGGGGCCAAGTCCAACCCCTGAAAAACAACCCCACAATATAATCCCCTCTCCACCAAACTTTACACTTGACACAATGCAGTCAGGCAAGTACCGTTCTCCTGGCAACTGCCAAACCCAGACATGTCCATGGGATTGCCAGACAGAGAAGCCTGATTGGTCACTCCAGAGAACACATCTCAACTGCTCTAGAGTCCAGTGGCGGCGTGCTTTACACCACGGCATCTGACGCTTTGCATTGCACTTGGTGATGTAAGGCTTGGAAGCAGCTGCTCGGCCATGGAAACCCATTCCATGAAGCTCTCTACGCACTGTTGTTGTGCTAATCTGAAGGCCACACCAAGTTTGGAGGTCATTAGCTATTGACTCTGCAGACAGTTGGCGACTTCTGCGCACTGTGCGCTTCAGCATACACTGACCCCGCTCTGTAATTTTATGTGGCCTACCACTTGGTGGCTGAGTTGCTGTTGTTCCCAGTTGCTTCCACTTTGTTATAATCCCACTAACAGTTGACCGTGGAATATTTAGTAGCCAGGAAATGTCACGGATGGACTTATTGCACAGGTGACAACCTATCACGGGACCACGCTTGGAGTCACTGAGCTCCTGAGAGCGACCCATTCTTTCACCAATGTTTGTAGAAGCAGTCTGCATGCCTAGGTGATGATTTTATACTGCAAATAAGAACAAGAGGAAGCGCACCAACCTTGCGCATTTGTGTTTCCAGCTTGGTTGGTTGATTTTTGGCAGCAGGTGACAGTATTCAAAAAACTTATACTTTATCTATGAGATCCAAAAATTAATTCAACACACCTAAGTAATAGTTACTGACTGATCTTAGGGCGTATTAAAAAAAATAATTTGCATAGCCGTTTGTCTAGTGAAACGGCATGTACATTTGTTTTGTGCAAATGGAGCAAAATCAAACATACTTCTATTTCTTCAACATGTTGAATGTTACACATTCAGTTAAAAAAAAAATATACACACACCACTCTATTTACACCTGTTCCATTGCTCGGTAACACAAATTCCCAGTTGCTGCTCACTGGATATTTTTTTCCATTCTCTGTAAACCCTAGAGAAGGTTGTGCATGAAAATCCCAGTAGATCCGCAGTTTTTGAAATACTCAGACCAGCCCGTCTGGCACCAACAACCATGCCATGTTCAAAGTCACTTAAATCCCCTTTCTTCCCTATTCTGATGCTCGGTTTGAACTTCAGCAAGTTGTTTTCACCATGTCTAGATGCCTAAACGCATTGACTTGCTGCCATGTGATTGGCTGATCAGCAATTTGTGTTACCAAGCAATTGAACAGGTGTATCTAATAAAGTGGCCAGTGAGCGTGTATAATATATATATATATATATAATATATACACACACACTATATTGCCAAAAGTATTGGTCCAGCCCTCCAAATCATGTGATTCAGGTGTTCCAATCCCCTCCCAATCATGTGATTCAGGTGTTCCAATCCCCTCCAAATCATGTGATTCAGGTGTTCCAATCACCTCCATGGACACAGGTGTATACAATCAAGTCCCTAGACATGCAGACTGCTTCTACAGACATTTGTGAAAGAATGGGTCGCTCTCAGGAGCTCAGTGACTCCAAGCGTGGTCCTGTGATAGGTTGTCACCTGTGCAATAAGTCCATCCGTGACATTTCCTGGCTACTAAATATTCCACGCTCAACTGTTAGTGGTATTATAACAAAGTGGAAGCAACTGGGAACAACAGCAACTCAGCCACCAAGTGGTAGGCCACGTCACATGACAGAGCGGGGTCAGCGCATGCTGAAGCGCACAGTGCGCAGAAGTCGCCAACTGTCTGCAGTGTCAATAGCTAAAGATCTCCAAACTTCATGTGGCCTTCAGATTAGCACAACAACAGTGTGTAGAGAGCTTCATGGAATGGGTTTCCATGGCCGAGCAGCTGCATCCAAGCATTACATCACCAAGTGCAATGCAAAGCGTTGGATGCCGTGGTGTAAAGCAAGAAGAGTTGAAGCTGTTATAGCTGCAAAGGGCGGGGCCAACTCAATATTGAACCCTACGGACTAAGACTGGGATGCTATTAAAGTTCATGTGCGTGTAAATGCAGGTGTCCCAATACTTTTGCCAATATAGTGGTGTTTTTTTCCAGCACATCCCCCAGGTGCTCGATTGGATTGAGATCTGGAGAATTTGGAGGCCAGGTCAACACCTCAAACTCGTTGTGTTCCTCAAACCATTCTTGAATTCATCAGACCAGGCCACCTTCCTCACACATACACTGTAGATAGATAGTGGCTCAGGAAAATATTGAATTGTTGACACTAGATGGAAGTGAGGATTGTAGGAAATAAATATGATCCTCAACTCCATGTAGTGGCCATAGGGCTGTATTTTCAGGCCACTATATTTAGAATAAATTAATAACATTTAGAGGAAATAGGAGGACACACACAGAACCAACGTACCAACAGTTTCAGTGGACCAATAACTATGCAAAATGTATCATTACACTCCTTAAAGTGTATCTATAGCCAATGTTTTTCCAACGTTTTTTTCTCTGGACAGGAAGTGAAGGAAGGAAATCCTTCAACAGCAACACAGACAGAAGTAAAATCTTTTGTACAAAGTTATGTGGAGGAACGCTGGAACTCCTGTTAGTGTTTTAGGGCTCATGTACACGGGGAGCTTGGAAAACTCTTCTGAACGATGGAAACTGATGAAAAACGTAGCTTAAAAAAACGTTAGTTTAGCCGCGTTTATGCGCATTTACGTTTAGAAGCGTTTTTTAAAGATAACCTCAGGAGACCTTCCCAAATGCCCAGAATGCACTGAAAAACAGTAAAAAGTTAACTATTTCAGACATTTTGAGAGAAATAGAGAGAGCAGAAGCAGAGAGAGCAGTATGTGTTGAGATGACCTGTCTTTTCTGGTTGTATTCACTATGGATCCCATCATGAGCATAATACAGCACGTTCTACCATTTTATCCTTCACACGAGACCTGGAACTGACTGCGCTGGTGTACCGGGTCCATTTGAATACATGGAAAACGCTTTGCATGCATTTCTGATGATGAAAAAAGGCTCCGGACAGCATCTGGATATGGAACAGTTAAAAAACGCTTCTACACGCAAACACTTATAAACGCGGTTAACTGCGTTTACAAGCATTTGAAACGCCGGTAAAATCTACTCCTGAATGCAAATTTGGTGCGTTAAAAAAAAACGACTGTAAACTCAACTGCCTGTAAATGAAGATGTGTACATGGACACATAGGAAAACATTAGGGACAGTTCAGGGGCTGCTGAAAAAAAAAACGCTGAACACCTCCTGAACGTCAGTTTATCAGCTGCAGTGTACATGAGCCCTTATTGTTGCTGACTTTGGTAAAATGTCATTCCTAGAACTGAAAGTGAGGGAGAAATCCTATATACCAAAAAGTCATTGTGACGGGAGTGACTTTTGGGGGTGGGGGGACCTCTGTATCATCTTCCCAAATTCCCATTATGTTTAAGGCACTCTGTGCCTGTTAACCCCTTGCCTACCGGGCACTTATACCCCCTTCCTGACCAGGCCAATTTTCAGCTTTCAGCGCTGCCGCACTTAGATTGACAATTGCGCGGTCATGCAACATTGTACCCATATGAAATTTTGATATTTTTTTTTTCTCACAAATAGAGCTTTCTTTTGGTGGTATTTAATCGCCACTGGGCGCTTTACTTTTTGCACTATAAATAAAAAAGTTGCAAAAAGTTTGAAAAAAAAAAAAAGTTTCTTTGTTTCTATTATAAAATTTTTCAAACAGGTAATTTTTCTCCTTCACTGATGTGCGTTGATGAGGCAGCACTGATGGGCACTGATAGTCGGCACTGATGGGCACTGATAGGCAGCACTAAAGGGCACTGATAGGCAGTACTAATGAGGTGGCACGGATAGGCGGCACTAATATGCAGCACTGATAGGCGGCACTGATAGGTGACACTGATGATGGGTACTGATAGACGGCACTGACTGGCATCACTGCTGGGCACTGACTGGCGGCACTGACTGGCACAACCGCTGGGCACTGACTGGCAGCACTGCTAGGCTGCACTGGTGGGTGGCACTGGTGGGCAGCACTGGTGGGTGGGTGGGCACAGGTGAGTGGCACTGGTGGGCACAGGTGGGTGGGCACAGGTGGGTGGCACTGCTGGGCACAGGTAGGTGGCACTTCTGGGCACAGGTGTGGGACACTGCAGAGTGGCACAGGTGGATGCACTGCTGGGCACAGGTAGGTGGCACTGGAGAGGTGGTACTGCTGGGCACAGGTGGATGCACTGCTGGGCACAGGTGGGTGATCTGCTGGGCACAGGTGGGCGGAGTTAGTGGGCGCACTGCTGGGCACAGGTGGGTGGAACTTGCGGGTGTCACTGCTGGGCACTGATCATCAGGGCACTGATCATCAGTGCCCTGATGATCGGTGCCGATCCCCGCTCTGACAACTGCCGGTTCCGGCAGTACTTTCCTCACGATCTGACAGCGTGAGGAAAGTGCAGCCGAGAACCGGCACTTGCATTTCCCTCTGATCAGCGTGTCATTGGACACCGCTGATCAGGTGGTAAAAGGCCGCTGTGATTGGCCTTTTACCACATCACGTGATCAGCTGTGTCCGTAGGACACAGCGATCATGGAGATCGCCGGGTGCGCACCTCCTGGGGCGCGCAGGAGAGCGCGTTCTGGGAGGACGTCATATGACGTCCACCCAGAACTGGCCGGCCGCAGTGCAGCCGTCATTCGGCTATCTGCGATCGGCTACTAGTTAAGGGGTACAGGGTGTGTATGTGAATGTCTAAGTCTTGTGTATAGTGTGTGTTCCTTTCTTCTCGGCCACATGGCTGTCCATTGTCTGTTTGCCATGTGCTACCCCCCATTGTGCCATGTCTTCCTGTCCAGCCAACTATTATGGGATGTACTGTTTGTGTATTTGTGGGGGGTTGGTCAATGTCCATTGCCATGTTATTCATCCCATTGTTCTGTGTTGGTGGGATGGGGAGGGGTGATGATGTATTTCCTGTTCTTGGTTGTGTTTTCCCCCGCCCTCTGTATATATACTGTGTTTTGTGTTAAAATAAAAGGAGTTGGCTTCGTGTATTAAGAAGAGCTGGGTGCTGTCTGTTTCCTGAGGGATTTCAGGGTGGGTCCGTGGATGGTGTTTGGACAGGGGAAGCTGTGGTATAACGGAAAAACTCAGTGTGGTCTGGGTTCCGGTTCCGTTACAGTCATATTTTTTCTCTGACAGCATCTACAACCAGATGGGGAATTTGAGAAAGAAAAAAATTAGTGGGAAAACCTACTTCACGTGAGGGAGTATGAGGGGTACGACTACCACATGGTCAAAAGAAGATCTGAAATGCCAGATTCTACATCTCTCTCTCTCGCCACCATATTTGTTCAGTTAACACGGGAGTAGAAACGCCGACCAAAATGATGTCATGCAGGTTGGGCAATCTTAACTCCAGCAGTTTGTTTTCCTGAACTGGCTTGTCAGTTGGCAATGGTTAGTATGAGCATTATTGGACACATTCCAATGAAATGAAAGGGTTGGAATCAAAGCTACTAGGCCGGATACGAAGTTAGAATACAAGCCAAAGAGGATTGTTATCAGAGAGCATGTCACCAGGATATAACAAGGAACGACTCCAAATATTTGTAATGGGGGATTCCAGGACTGTAACATCAAAGTGAGATGTGTGCCCATTATTCCAGGGGGGAGGTTCAGTGACCCCGTGAGTAATCTCTGTACAAAGTTGGCATTGTTTATGACAAGTTTTTTTTTTTCCATGTCAAATGAGCTTACATTTGTTGCTTGAAACATCATTTTATCTGGCTTGGCATTCAGTTTATAGCCATTCAGGTTTCATGCGAGGTATCAGATCATAAGCGAAATCTCCTGCGCTCAAGGACCCAGGCGGGTGGCGAATAGATGGAACCAGACCTGGAAAGATCGACCACCAATGCATGTAGAGTTGTGCAGCTCCAAATGAGGCTGGGGAAGCCCGACCAATACTGCAAATCGAAACAAAAACGAGAAGCGCACCAACCTTGCGCATTACCTCAGTAACCAAAGTTTATTAATTATAAAATAATACTCACAAACAGCGAATAAAATCAGGCTTGTAAGTCCTCAGAAGGACCTGAAAGATAAAGAGCCAGTGCGGATCCCATCATGGGGGTAGATACTCAGTACAGCTGACGCATTTCGAAGGGCATCCCTTCTTCATCAGCCCTTAGAAACGTGTCAGCTGTACTGAGTATCTACCCCCATGATGGGATCCGCACTGGCTCTTTATCTTTCAGGTCCCTCTGAGGACTTACATGCCTGATTTTATTCGCTGTTTGTATTATTTTACAATTAATAAACTTTGGTTACTGAGGTAATGCGCAAGGTTGGTGCGCTTCTCGTTTTTGTTTCAATTTGCAGTGTTCATGCGAGGTATAACTTGACTTGAAAATTAAAGTGCGCACACCAACCAGACTTTTGTTCTCTCATATGGAGGAGATGAGCTATTAAAAATTGTATGTGGAGTCAACAACCACAACAAAAAAACCCCAAAAAAACAACACACACAACACATGTAGTACATCCCCACAATAAATCAACATTTCCCTGTCTTGTATCCCCTTTATAAAAAAAAAAAAAAAACAGCTCTTAACCCCTCGCCTACAGGGCACTTATACCCCCTTCCTGCCCAGGCCAATTTTCCAGCTTTCAGCGCTGTTGCACTTTGAATGACAATTGCGCGGTCATGCAACACTGTACGCATATGAAATGTTTATCATTTTTTTGTGACAGATAGAGCTTTCTTTTGGTGGTATTTAATCACCTCTGGGTTTTTTTATTTTTTCTTAAACAAACCAAAAACCACTAAAAATTAAAAAAAAAAAGTTTTTTCTTAGTTCTTGTTATACAATTTTGTAAATAAGTGATTTTTCTCCTTCACTGATGTGCGCTAATGAGGCTGCAGTGATGGGCATTGATAGGTGGCACTGATGAGGAGGCACTGATGGGCATTGAAAGGCAGCACTGATATATGGCACTGACTGGCACTGTTAGGTGGCACTGACAGGCAGCACTGATGGGTGACACTGAAAGGCAGCTCAGATGGACACTGATATGTGGCATTGATGTACACTGGTAGGCACTGATATGTGGCATTGAGGTGGCACTGGCACTGATGAGCACTGACAGGTGGCACTGCTGGGGCTACACAGATCATCAGGGCACACTGATCATCAGTGCCCTGATGATCAGTGTACATGTCACCTCTGAGTAATGCCGATTACCAGCTCTCCTCTCCTCAGCTGACAGCTCTGATAATCGACATTTCCCTGCATGTGACAGCTGTGATTGAGGAGACCGAGCCGACATCTTCGGCTTTCTGTGGATTGGTGATCCGCTGTGTCCGAGGGACACATCACATCGCCGATCGCCACGCGCTCCCTGAGCCGTGCATGCGCAGTGAGAATGGGAGGACGTTATATGACGTCCTCCCAGAACGAGAGAACCACCTTGTGCCCGTCATTGTACTGTATGGCAGGTGGGAGGTGGTTAAAGCTGATCTCCACATTCATTGGCCCCTTTAACCACTTGCCCTCCGGTAGATTTACGCTCCCCTGTATGACCAGACCAATTTTTGCTATTCGGCACTGCGCTGTTTCAATTGGTATTTGCGCAGTCATGCAACGCTGTACCCAAATGAAATTGATGTCCTTTTTTCACACAAATAGAGCTTTCTTTTGTGGTATTTGATCACCATCGGGTTTTTTAAACTTTTTTGTGATATAAACAAAAAAAAAGACCAAAAATATTGAAAAAAAAAAGACATTTTGTACTTTATGAAAAATATCCAATAAACTCAAATTTAGTCTTAAATATAGACCAAAATGTATTCTGCTCCATATTTTTGGTAAAAACAATCCCAATAAGTGTATATTCATTGGTTTGTGTGAAAGTTATAGCGTCTACAAACTATGGTATAGATACTGGGATTTATACAGCTTTCACTTTCTGACTGTCTATCACATTTTTCGGAAAGTAGACACCCTACACTATTTGCTGAGAGGCATGTGGAGTCCATGGAAGATTATTTTTTTTTCCCGCAAGTTTTTGGAAAATGACAATTTTTTTTTAAATTCACACAAAGTAGTCACTTAAAGGATATAATGCTCACACATGCAATGGGTATATGTGGAATTACACCCCAAAATATATTCTGTTACTTCTCCCGATGTGTGAGACGTTTTGGCAGCCTAGCCGCATGCAGCAGGCCGAAATCCAATGACCTCTTTGCTTACCTGATGGTGTGTAAATTCCTCATTTAACTTCCTCACTACCTATCACAGTTTCAGAGGATCTGAAATTCCAGGATAGCACCAACCCCCCCTCAAATGACCTTTTTTTTGGAAAGCAGACATCCAAAACTCCAAAACTATTTGCTGAGAGATGATGAGTCAATGGAAGATTTTTTTTTTACCACAAGTTTTTGGAAAATGACAAAAATTTTTTTTTTTTTCTTTACACAAAACTGTCACTTAAATGATACATTGCTCACACATGCCATGGGTATATGTGGAATTACACCCAAAAATGCATGCTGCTACTTCTTCCGAGTATAGGGTACCACATGTGTGAGACTTTTTGGCAGCCTAGCCGCAGACAGAAGCCCAAAATTCAATGACCACTTTGAAAGCCTGAAGGTGCGTAACGTCCTCATTTAACTTCCTCACTACCTATCACAGTTTCAGAGGCCCTGAAATGCCAGGATAGCACCAACTGAACCCACCCCGAAATGACCACTTTTTTGAAAGTAGACATTCCAAGGAATTTGGGAGGCATGTTGAGTATTTTGCAGATCTAATTTTTTTGTCACAAGGTTTTGAAAAATAAAATAAACAGATTTTCATTTTATTTCTTCATTTTTCAAAGACTTGTGGCAACAAACAAGATCTGCAAAATACTCACCATGCCTCTTAGCAAATACCTTGGGGTGTCTACTTTCCAAAAAGGGGTCATGGGGAGGGTGTGTGTTTGTACTATTTTGGCATTTCAGGGCCTCCGAAACTGTGATAGGTAGTCAGGAAGTGTAATGAGGAAATAAAGCCCTTTAAAAGCCTGAAGGTGCTTATTGGATTTTGGGGTCCTGTACTTGGCTAGACTGCCAAAACGTCTCTCACATGTGATACCCCCATACTCGGGAGAAGTAGCAGAATGTATTTTGGGGAGTAATTCCACATATACCCATGGCATGTGTGAGCAATTTATCATTTAATTGACATCTTTGTTCATTTTTTTTTTCTCTTTTTTTTTTTTTTAACACTTTCTAAAAATGTGTGGAAAAAAAAAAATTCTTCTATTGACTCAACATGCCTCTCAGTAAATAGTCTGAGGTGTCCACTTTTGAAAAAAGGGGTCATTTGGAGATGGGGGGTTGTGCTATTCTGGCATTTTACGCCCAACATTAGCACACATCACCCACTCTTCTCACCACTTGAAGACAAAGCCTTTTCTGACCCTCTTTGTTCACATGAACAAAATCAGTATTTTTTGCTAGAAAATATACTTTGAACCCCCAAACATTATATATATTATTTTAACCACAAGCCTACTGAACACTTATACCCCCTTCCTGCCCAGGCCAATTTCCAGCTTTCAGCGCTGTCGCACTTTGAGTGACAATTGCAACACTGTACCCATATGAACATTTTTAGCATTTTTTTGTGACAGATGGAGCTTTCTTTTGGTGGTATTTAATCACCTCTGGGTTTTTTTTATTTTTTCTTAAACCAAAAACCAATGAAAATTTTGAAAAAAAAAACATTTTTTCTTAGTTATTGTTATAAAATTTTGTAAATAAGTGATTTTTCTCCTTAATTGATGTGCGCTAATGAGGCTGCAGTGATGGGCACTGATAGGCTGCACTGATGGACACTGATAGTTGGCACTAATGGGCACTGATGAGGAGGCACTGGTAGGTGGCACTGATAAGCATTGACAGGCATCACTGATGGGCACTGAAAGGCAGCACTGATACATGGCACTAATAAATGGCACTGATAGGCAGCACTGATTGGCAGCTCTGATAGGCAGCTCAGATGGGCACCGATATGTGGCATTGATGGGCACTGGCACGAGGCACTGACACAAGGCACTGATGGACACTGACAGGTGGCACTGCTGGGGCTACACTGATCATCAGTGCCCTGATGATCAGTGTACATGTCCCCTCCGCGGAAAGCCGATTACCGGGTCTCCTCTCTGTCAGAGTGACAGCTCGTTAGGAGAGAAATGCTGATAACCGGCATTTCCCTGTTTACATGTGATCAGCTGTGATTGGACACAGCTGATCACATGACCGAGCCGACTTCTTCAGCTCTTTCCGTGATCAGTGATCCGCTGTGTCCGAGGGACACAGCGCACCGCCGATCTACGCGCTCCCTGAGCCGCGCATGCGCAGTGAGAATGGGAGGATGTCATATGACGTCCTCCCAGAACGAGAGAACCACCTTGCGCCCGTCATATTACTATATGGTGGGATGGAGGCGGTTAAAGCAGAGGCCCTAGAGAACAAAATGGTGGGTGTTGCAAATTTTTATGTCACACAGTACTTACTTGCGCAGCAATTTTTCAAAAGAAACTTTTTTGGAAAAAAAAATACACAAGCTAGAATTACTGCCCTTTATCTGACGTTTGCGGCAATAGTTCACATGCATGGGACAACTGCTGTTTACATACCAACAGGGGTCAACGCTTGCATTCGCCTTTGCGAAGGGGGTGCGTTAATTTTTTTTTTATTCATTATTTATTTTGCTTTTTTTTATTTTTACACTATCCCTTATTTATTAATATTATTTATTCACTTTGTAAATCACTTTTTTATGTTATCACAGGGAATGAAAAGATCCTCTATGATAGCAATAGGCAGTTTAGTTTACTTTCACTGCCCCCCCCATTGGTGATCAGTGAGAGTGAAAGGTAAGACCCCATCACCCACCCACTAAGCATTGGTGGTCATATCAGTGCAATTTTTACCCACCATCCCCCCCTTTCCACATTTTTGCTCATACAGCAACCCAATTCCCTCCTGCATTGGTGGTCTTAGGGGGGGGGGGGGGCAACTTCACTGGGGCTAATAGTACTGACACCAATGTTAAGGGTTATTATTGCATCTCACTGACACCAGAGCAGGGGGGTTATTTTTGCATCCAGTGACACCAATGCAGGGGGTTATTATTGCATCCACTGACACCAGTGTAGGGGGTTATTACTGCATCCACTGACACCAGTGTAGGGGGTTATTACTGCATCCACTGACACCAGTGTAGGAGTTATTGCTGCATCCACCGACACCAGTGTAGGGGGTTATTATTTCATCCATTGACACCAATGCTGAAGGTTAATATTGCATCCACTGACACCAGTGCTGGGAGTTATTATTGTGTCCACTCACACCAATGCTGGCGGTTATTAATGTGTCCACTGATACTATTGCTGGAGGTTGTTATTGTATCCACTGACACCAATGTTAAGGGTTATTATTGCATCTACTGACACCAATGCAGGGGGTTATTATTGCATCCACTGACACCAGTACTGGGGGGTTATTATTCCATCCACTGACACCAATGCTGAAGGTTAATATTGCATCCACTGACACCAGTGTAGGGGGTTATTATTGCATCCATTGACACCAGTGTAGGGGGTTATTTCATCCATTGACACCAATGCTGAAGGTTAATATTGCATCCACTGACACCAGTGTAGGGGGTTATTATTGCATCCATTGACACCAGTGTAGGGGGTTATTTCATCCATTGACACCAATGCTGAAGGTTAATATTACATCCACTGACACCAGTGCTGGGAGTTATTATTGTGTCCACTCACACCAATGCTGGTGGTTATTAATGTGTCCACTGATACTATTGCTGGAGGTTGTTATTGCATCCACTGACACCAATGCTGAGGGTTATTATTGCATTTACTAACACCAATGCTGAGGGTTATGATTGCATTTACTGACACCAACACTGGGGGCTGTACTTGCAGCCACTGACACCAATATTGGGGGTTGTTATTGCATCCACTAACACCAATGTTGGGGCTTATTATTACCGACACCAATGCTGGTAGTTAGTGCAGCATCCACTGACACCACTGCTGATACTAAGGAGCAATTTAAAGAAGAATTCTAGATATGGATATTTTATACAAAGTTTTATTGTTCCAGCTTGGACCAATGTATGTTGTAACTACATATATACCATACCTGACCAAAGGCCCTGGAATCTGGAAATCACTGAAACAGACACCGATACTCCAATGAACTGCCCCCCTGCTTCCAGGTCCTGTGCTAAGCAGCTGCCCTGCTGCATTGAGGTCATGCCGTCCAACCTCGTCTGATCAGAGTATGCTTAGCATTCATTCAGATAATGGGAAGCATTCCCTGAGTGACACCCGTGTTGAGTGATTAACCTCAAGTGTTCAGAATGCAGCAGGCCAGACGCTCAGCAGAGGACATGGAAGTGTGTGGATATCCCTGTATCAGCAGTGTCTATTTCAGTCATTTCCAGCTTCCAGGGCATGGGCCAGGTATGGGACAGACCAGTGAAGGCGAACATTTTAGAGACCGAGAGCCCGGAACCCACTTATTTATCACAAAGTGCCAACACTGCAATTAGACTGGAATACTGAGGTTTTAGTTTAGATAAAACAGCGCGTATAGTAACATCTTTTGTCTTAAAGAAAAACACAAAAACAGCTTTCAATGATACCAACAGCAAGGTGGCAAAGTTCCACTGACCACCAGAACAAGGGGGGCAAAGTTCCACTGACCACCAGGACAAGGGGGGCAAAGTTCCACTGACCACCAGGACAAGGGGGGCAAAGTTCCACTGACCACCAGGACAAGGGGGGCAAAGTTCCACTGACCACCAGGACAAGGGGGGCAAAGTTCCACTGACCACCAGGACAAGGGGGGCAAAGTTCCACTGACCACCAGGACAAGGGGGGCAATGTTCCACTGACCACCGGCACAAGGGGGCAATGTTCCACTGACCACCGGCACAAGGGGGCAATGTTCCACTGACCACCGGCACGAGGGGGCAATGTTCCACTGACCACCGGCACGAGGGGGCAATGTTCCACTGACCACCGGCACGAGGGGGCAATGTTCCACTGACCACCGGCACCAAGGGGCAATGTTCCACTGACCACCAGCACGAGGGGGCACAATTCCACTGACCACTGGCACAGAGGGGCAATGATCAACTGACCACCAGCACAAGGGGGAAATGTTCCACTGACCACCAGCACGAGGGGGCACAATTCCACTGACCACCGGCACAGAGGGGCAAAATTCCACTGACCACCGGCACAGAGGGGCAAAATTCCACTGACCACCGGCACAGAGGGGCAAAATTCCACTGACCACCAGCACAAGGGTGAAACGTTCCACTGCCCACCAGCACAAGGGGACAATGTTCCACTGACCACCAGCACAAAAGGGGACAATGTTCCACTGCCCACCAGCACAAGGGGACAATGTTTCACTGCCCACCAGCACAAGGGGGCTATGTTCCACTGAACACCGGAACAAGGGGGCAAAGTTCCACTGACCACCAGCACAAGGGGGCAAAGTTCCACTGACCACCAGCACAAGGGGGCAATGTTCCACTGACCACCAACACAGAGGGGCAAAATTCCACTGACCACCAGCACAAGGGGGTAAAATTCCACTGACCACCAGCACAGAGGGGCAATATTCCACTGACCACCAGCTTGGCCTGCTCTGAAAAAGGCACCTGAGTGCATTTCCTACCTTGTGGGGGCTTCTGCTAAAATCACAGCCAGTCCAACCAAATAAATATACAGTTGTGTTCAAAATAATAGCACTCAGACATCACTAACCGGATCAATCACTGTTTTTGGTAGAAATGATATTTCTACATGGCAAATAATTTACTAGCAGGTGTAGTAGAGTAATAGAAATCCAACAGACCCAACAGTCATGACATGCATGCTGCTGATTCTGTGTAATTGAATCACTCATTGAAAGGGGCATGTTCAAAATAATAGCAGTGTGGAGTTCTATTAGTGAGGTCATTCATTCTTTGAAAAACAGGTGGCAATTATTGCCCTTATTTAAGGAAGGAAGGCAGCAAATGTTGTACATGCTGGTTACAGTGCATTTCTCTCTGAAATTCTGAGGAAAATGGGTCGTTCCAGACATTGTTCAGAAGAACAGCGTACCTTGATTAAAAAGTTGATTGGAGAGGGGAAAACATATAAAGAAGTGCAGAAAATGATAGGCTGCTCAGGTGTAAAGTTCCCTGTGAGGACTGTTACAATTAGAAGACGCCTATGTGAAGCCAAGCTATCTGCAAGAAGCCCCCGCAAAGTCCCACTGTTGGAAAAAACACATGTGCTGAAGAGGTTACAATTTGCCAAAGAGCACATTGACCGGCCTAAAGAGAAATGGCGCAACATTTTGTGGACTGATGAAAGTAAGATTGTTCTTTTTGGGTCTAGTGGCCGCAGACAGTTTGTCAGATGACCCCCAAACACTGAATTCAAGCCACAGTACACTGTGAAGACCGTGAAGCATGGTGGTGCAAGCATCATGATATGGGGATGTTTCTCATACTATGGTGTTGGGCCTATTTATCGCATACCAGGGATCATGGATCAGTTTGAATACATCAGAATACTTGAAGAGGTCATGCTGCCTTATGCTGAAGAGGAAATGCCCTTGAAATGGGTGTTCCAACAAGACAACGACCCCAAACACACCAGTAAACGTGCAACATCTTGGTTCCAGACCAACAAGATGGACGTTATGGAGTGGCCAGCCCAATCCCCGGATCTTAATCCAATAGAAAACTTGTGGGGTGACATCAAAAATGCAGTTTCTGAGGCAAAACCAAGAAATAGAGAAGAACTGTGGAATGTGGTCCAATCATCCTGGGCTGGAATACCTGATCACAGGTACCAGAAATTGGGTGACTCCATGCAACACAGATGTACAGCAGTTCTCAGAAACAGTGCGACTACAACCAAATATTCATGAAGTCACTCAAAGGAAAGCAAAATCTTCAAACATTTTTCAGTTTATATAGTGAATGTTTGAGTTTGTAAAGAAGAATACAAACACTGCGATTTTTTTGAACCGTCTAATATTCACTTTTCTTCAATTTTTTTTTAGAGGAACAACACAAATTTGATGTATTTTTCTTCATGTTTTGATTTGGAATAGAATGTGTCGTGTTCCCAATGCATTTGTGTGGATGGAAATAAAAGCTATTAGAAGGATTTTCAGCTTTATTCACTTTTTTCAACACACTGCTATTATTTTGAACACAACTGTATATCCTCGGCAGCACACTGACCAACCATGCGAATGCTTGGATGAGTTGT